TAGAAAACCCCATCGTCTCAGCCCAAAATCTCCTTAAGCTGATAAGCAACTTCAGCAAAGTCTCAGGATACAAAATCAATGTGCAAAACTCACAAGCATTCTTATACATCAATAACAGACAAACAGAGAGCCAAATCATGAGTGAACTCCTATTCACAACTGCTTCAAAAAGAACAAAATACCTAGGAATCCAACTTACAGGTGATGTGAAGGACCTCTTCAAGGACAATTACAAACCACTGCTCAACGAAATAAAAGAGGACACAAAGAAATGGAAGAACATTCCATGCTCATGGATAGGAAGAATCAATATTGTGAAAATGGCCATACTGCCCAAGGTAATTTATAGATTCAATGGCATCCCCATCAAGCTACCAATGACTTTTTTCACAGAATTAGAAAAAACTGCTTTAAAGTTCATATGGAACCAAAAAAGAGCCTGCATTGCCAAGACAATCCTAAGCCAAAAGAACAAAACTGGAGGCATCACACTACCTGACTTCAAACTATACTACAAGGCTACAGTAACCAAAACAGCATGACACTGGTACCAAAACAGAGATATAGACCAATGGAACAGAACAGAGCCCTCAGAAATAATACCACACATCTTCAGTGAAATAATACCACACATCTACAGCCATCTGATCTTGACAAACTCGATAAAATGTAAGAAATGGGGAAAGGATTCCCTATTTAATAAATGGTGCTGGGAAAACTGGCTTGCCATATGTAGAAAGCTGAAACTGGATCCCTTCCTTACACCTTATACAAAAATTAATTCAAGACGGATTAAACACTTAAATGTTAGACCTAAAACCATAAAAACCCTAGAAGAAAACCTAGGCAATACCATTCAGGACATAGGCACAGGCAAGAACTTCATGTCTAAAACACCAAAAGCAATGGCAACAACAGCTAAAATTGACAAATGGGATCTAATTAAACTAAAGAGCTTCTGCTCAGCAAAAGAAACTACCATCAGAATGAATGGGCAACCTACAGAATGGGAGAAAATATTTGCAATCTACTCATCTGACAAAGGGCTAATATCCAGAATCTACAAAGAGCTCAAACAAATTTGTTTGTTTGATATGTATCATTTTTATTGTATTAAATAAATTAAGATTAAGTACTTAGAGAGAATTTGTATTATTCTATTTTAATATATTGTATGTTAACTATTGGATTCAACAAATATTTACCAAGAAATGTAAGGCACTAAGTTCAGAACTGAATAGCCAGTGCACTCATGAAATTTATGCTAGTAGGGAAAACATATATTACTAAAAAATGTAAAAACTCATATATAATAAAGAGAAATACAGGGAAATATCCACTTCTATTGGGGGAATGGGCAGGGTTTTTTAGAAATCTTCCCTGAGTTGAAACATCAATGAAGAATAGCAATTACTGGGCATGATGGGAGTTTGGTTGGAGAAAGAATTCTGAGCAGAAGAGGCATCATGTATGAAGGCTCTGAACCAAGGTGACAATTAAGAAATGGAAATACAGACACACACACACACACACACACAGGTTTACTTCACATATAAAATAAATTCAATAAGCACAAAGCTAAATTTTTGACACTAAAATCTTCACAGCTAATAATTACAACAAGTAAACAGAAATGTTAAGTTCATGTATAGTCAACATAAGTCAACATAAGAGGTGCATGTATAGAGGTGCATAGGAGGTGCATAAGTCAACATAAGAGGTTCATGTATAGTCAACATAAAAGGTGAGATAGATCCTAGTTATTAATCAGACAATGTAGGCACACATAATTTCTCATCTTGTTAAACATAGTTTCACTGTCCTGATCAGTTTGGTGAAGATGAAACTCATTTTTCTAGCAGCAAAAATGAAATTTTTGCTGTCTTCTCCATAAGCCTTAGTATGAAGTATTTGGCAGTCAATATGAGAGTGTTAACACAAATTCCTTGAACATCTATGCCAAAAGTGATTACCAGTGTTTCGTCTTCCAGTCTCAGGTCTGGTCCTCATCAAGAATCCAGTGTTCCTACCCGAGATGGAGACGTGAATAATCTTCGTAAGCCCAATCCTGCCAGAAGCGTGAAGCAAGAGGAAATTTGGAAGGCTGAACAGGAAAGAGTAGAAGTTTAGTTTACTGCTCTCCAAAATAGAAGCTCTTTTCCCTGAGATAGAAGCAAGATGCAAGAGAAAGGGTCAAGGAAACTGGATTCAATTTTAATGTAGCCTAGATGCTGAAATAACCCTATCTCTACTAAATGCCAAATCTCTTGCACCCACTTCACAGTCTCTTGACCAAAAAAGTGACTCCAGTGTTGCCACGGCAACCGTCCGTGGGTAGGCATGAACCGACAGCACCTCACCTCAGCTAGCTGCAGCAGCCCACGCACACAGCTCACTTTCTGCCTGGACTCCTCTGCCTGCAGCTGGTATTCTGCCTGCTGCAATTTGTTCATCCATTTCATCGTGGGCCAGTGTGAAATGGTGAGGGAGTTGAACAGTGTCACGAGAATCCGTGGATGAGTACCTATTCTTTCCCATCTGGAGTGTATTCTATTTATTTATTTATTTAGAGACTGAGTCTCACTCTGTCACCAGGTTGGAGTGCAGTGGCGCCCTCTCAGCTCACTGCAACCTCTGCCTCCTGGGTTCAAGCAATACTCGTGCCTCAGCATCCCAGGTAGCTGGAATTACAGGCTCGTGCCACCACACTTAGCTAATTTTTATTTTTTTTTTTGAGACGGAGTCTCGCTCTGTCGCCCAGGCTGGAGTGCAGGGGCGCGATCTCGGCTCACTGCAAGCTCCGCCTCCCGGGTTCCCGCCATTCTCCTGCCTCAGCTTCCCAAGTAGCTGGGACTACAGGCGCCGCCACCAAGCCCGGATAGTTTTTTGTATTTTTAGTAGAGACGGGGTTTCATCGTGTTAGCCAAGATGGTCTCGATCTCCTGACCTCGTGATTCACTCACCTCGGCCTCCCAAAGTGCTGGGATTACAGGCTTGAGCCACCGCGCCCGGCCTGGAGTGTATTCTATACAGCATCTCAGAGGGCTCCCAGAGCGACTGCAGTCCACTTGTCCACAGAGATGCTCATTTTGTCCGTTTATGATAAACCCCAGGATAAATGACTACAAAAAGATGTGTTTCTCCTTTCCGTAACATTCTTCCTAGATTCACATACATTTTCTATGATAGCATTTCTTAAAATAAAGCCTCTGCACACATGTGAAGAAAGCACTCAGTATGTAACATGAAGATCATTCAGGATTAAATATATTATTAGTAGTATTATTAATATATCCTATAAAAAATGGTAAATTCTTTGTAAGAAATCTGAACTTGATACAGTCTTAAAGAAATACATAGATATTAATACAAAAGATCTGTTTAGTAGTTGACTATTCATTATCCTGCACTCTAATAATTTTTCAATTAATTCAGAAACGTTACGATCACATCACTATTACATGATGTAAATGTAATTTAGGTCTCCAAATCCCAATTTATTCTTTCTGAATATATACAAACACAATAAATCCATTGACAATTTTATAGAAAACTGGGACTCAGAACTATTACTATTTAAAGATGCAAAAAGAGAATGTGCTAGGTTTCTCTTCCCACAAACCTTTGCTTTTTCATCCATTGAATTTAATCCACCACGAGTCTTTATATCAGGTCAAGACTTTAATCCAAGATCACAAAGTAACTAGTTCTAATCCCCAAAGTATGAGTCCTGTTTCAAGGAAATCACACATGGAAATGAGGAAAAAGAAAAAAAACAAAAACCCCATAAATAATAGAGCAAAAATCAGCAGAAAAGCAGACAAAAATTGTTGAATACAGATGACAATGACCAAATACCTGGCTATAATTTACTGTCATCTTCCTCATAAATACAAATTCAAAATTGATAGCATAATCTTCTCAAATTTTATTTACAACTTGGTGTATATCATCACATTTAAATTATCTCTAAAGTAAAAGTATATGATTCTCAACCTAGAGTATTTTCTAGTAGCAGTACACCGCTGCTATAATAAATATGTACCTATTTTGTGATTATTAGCTTAATGCCTATGTCTTCAACTAGGGTGTGCTTTGTGAGGTCAAGGTTTATGTTGATTGTGCTCATGGTTAAATCTTCAGAATATGTATATCATTTAACAGACAATGTGATGGTTAATACTGTCAACTTGATTGGATTGAAGGATACAAAGTATTAATCCTGGGTTTGTCTGTATGGGTGTTGCCAAAAGAGATTAACATTTGAGTCAGTGGGCTGGGGATGGCAGATCCACCTTAAATCTGGTGGGCATAATCTATCAGCTTCTAACAAATATAAAGCAGGTAGAAAAACGTGAAGACTGGGCTAGGCTCCCAGTCTACATCTTTCTCCTGTGCTGGATGCTTCCTGCTCCCAAACACTGGACTCCAAGTCCTTCAGTTTTGGGACTGGGACTTGCTCTTCTTGCTCCTCTGCATGCAGACAGCCTACTGTGGGACCTTGTGATTGTATATGTTAATATTTAATAAACTCTCTCACTGGTAAATCTTACATTGCTTCCACAGTTTATGATAGGAGAAGAAGAATTTTTGGCTGTCTTTCTAAATTGAAATCCAGAAATTAAAATGTTAGCACTAAAATTAGGCCAATCGACTTAAGGCCAAACTTTATTAAATTTTATTTCAAGAAATCATTTTTTTCTGCTCATGGCATGTCTTATATTAGCATTATTACCAGTATTTTAGAATACATTTTAAACTATATTTTTCTCAATTAAGTCTAAAAAATATACACACATATACAAACACACACTCCTGGATTTTCAACTTGGGGGTTGTAACATGTGATTCTATAAAAATGAGTTTTTATCACAAAAGTAAGTGAAATTTGAAATAAATTTATGAAGAAACTCTCACATATAAACCTCCACTAGTTAGACAAAACTAAGTATGTCAGTTCCAGATGCCTAGTTAATTACTTGGTTTTTTGATCCCAAAAAGTACTGGACACTTATATAAGAAGCAGAAAAAAACATATGGAGGAAACCTTAGAGATCTTGTACTGGCAACATTTTTTCCCAGTGCAATTTTCATAATTATTTCTAAATAAATACCATTTGACTAACTGTTACTTGGTAAAATTATAATGTATAAGGGAAAGATGGATTCTGGATGCAGATTGATCTGGCTTTGAAATTCTTTTCCTACCTAACATTACATTAGACAAATAACATTTGTCTCATTAGACATCAATTGCCCAAATGTTATATGAAAAGAATATTCTCTAAGCTATTGAAAATCGAATAACAATATCTGACTAGGCTCTAGCATATTCTGTCATACACAGTAGATGGTCAATAAATACCATTCATTTTATTAACACTGCAGCAATGGTTCTCAAAGTGTTGTGTGGGGATGCCTGATGATCCATGCCATCCTTTTAAAGGATTATGCTGCTTTCATACTAACCTGCTTGCTATGTGAATTTTTCTACTGTCTTTCTCTCACACAGGTACAGTGGAGTTTCTTTGAGGCTACATGGTGAGAGAAGATGTCACCGCTCTGACATACATAATAATGTGTGTGTGTGTGTATGCGTGTGTGTGTGTGTGAAGTTTTAATTTTAAATATGGGAAATATAAAGAGACATAATATTTAAAAAGCCAATGGTTTGGAGGCTGTCAATATTCTTTAAGACTGCAAAAGTGTTCAGAGACAGAATTTTGAGACTAAAACACTGTATCAGAACTTTGAGACTGAAACACAGCATCGTGTACATTCAGAGTTGAAGACACTCCTGTGAGCACTCGATGTGAATGTGAGTGGATAGTACATGATAGCAAATGGCCCTGCCTTTATTACCTGACTCACTTGTACCAGAATAGCCCCAACATCACTCACGCCTTATTTACTCTTTAGGAAGTTATTTGAACTCTTTCAGAAGATTGACTTCTTGACAATCCAGTAGTACTCCTGTTTCCAACATTTCACATTATTGTAAGTTGCATTATAGTGAACAGAATTTTATTGGAGCACAAGAGCTATATTTCAGGTTCTACTGAGTATATCATTTTGTTTTGTCAGGCAATTTTATGGATAATTATGGATGAAAATTTATATAAAATCTAAAAGTCATCATTGACTCTTTTCTCGCTTAACCTGCATAATCAATTGGTCGAGTCCTATTGATTTTTCTCCTCAGTAGCTCTCCAATTTCTCTTCTTCTCTGTGTCTCCACCACATCAATATAGTTCAAGCAACCATCACTTTCCCCTAATTCATTAGAGCAGCATTCTACCTGTCACCAATTCACTGGGATGAATTCAAAGGAACTGATTTGAGTATTTCATTTCAACAATTGTCTTCTTGAAATATTGTGAAAAATATTGTCATTTTTTGCTTTGCCCCCATTCCTGGGTGGGCCAGACTCTCAATGAATCATGACATTGAACCCTGCTTGGAATGGGTTGTTCAGCAGTGCATAGAAGGTGCCTGATAGCTGAGTGCATCAGTCCAGATCCTTTCCGTCTGTGCCTTGCACCAAGTCTGCATATATCTAGATAAAATGAATCTGTCAGCCTACTTTGACAGTAAAATGATGAGACTGTGAAAAGCTGAATTAAATCTAAGACCAGTTGAATTCTCAGAGAAGTCAGGGTAGAGAATAGCCATCATAGACATAGGAAATCTTAGACTATTCCAATTCTGAATTCTAATAAATGTAGCTAAAAAAGATCAGATTAAAACTGTTTACTTGTCAGGTATGTGTCTTGGAACTAAAGGCATTTTCCATGTGAAATATAATTAAATGACCTACAGAATAAAAGAATGTCTTAAAAATATTTATCAATATATCCTATCAGAGAAATGTTACTTATAAATATTTATTATATTTTGGATAATAAATGAGTATGAATAAAAGGTGACTTAAGGAGTATGTTTTCATCAATCAAATTAATAATGTGTAAATTATATAAGCAATTGTTTAAAAATATATATTTTCAATGGATAAATAAAATATTTTAAAAAGTAAATTAGTAACTTAAGCAAATAATCATACTGATGAGTTTATGCATTCATTAGAAAAATTACTTTTAAGGCATTTATATATTTCTGGATTACAAAAGTCAAAAGAAAAGCAAATACTGCGTTATTCAACACACCTTTACATACCATTTATGATTATTGTCAATGATATAACAGTCAATTAGACCTAGCTATGTTCTTGAAGGACTTCATGGTCCCTGAGCAGAACACGAGGCAATAATGATCACTTTCTGGGAAAAACTATCTTAAGAAAATGTGAGATTCTGATGCACTAAGCTGTCCTAGCTTTTGGGATATGCACCGTCTGGCATTATCAGCATTGTTGGTGAGATCTCGCTACCATGCAAACGTGTGAAAAGTAAAATCACGTTTTGTCCTAGTAGAGTTACAAATTGGATTTTTTTTTCCTCCACTAAGTAATCTGAATGAAATATTTCTGAAATTAAAACCTCAAATGTAAAGGAGGATAATTGGGTCTTATTTTATTTTACTTATTTATTTTTTGGTAGCAAGTTTGGAACACAGCAGTTAGTTTATGGCTTAAGACTGTATAACATCTTGAAGGACTGATTTTTAGTAAATGTACCTGTTATAGGACTGTATACAACACTTCGAAATACAAATAGTATTTCAACACTATAAATTAAATAAGACCTGCAACAATTTATAAGTAAAAGTCTCTTCTTAAAAATTCTAGGTTGCTTATCAAAGCGGGATGCTATACTCTTTTTTTGGAGCCTCTTCAATTCTAAGGAGTCCTAGGGTCACTTAATGGAACTCTACACTTAGCAAGTTGTTAAAATGTCTTCTTCCTTAGTAACTGAGCAGCAAATGTCCTACTTGGTTTGATCTGAGCAGCATAAATGAATATAAAAACACGAGAGGGAACAAATCTTTAAAAGACCTAATAATATCAAAATACGGTTATGCTGTACAAAAGTTATCTAGTTCTTTAGTGATATGTTTTACTCCTATTGTAATCAAGTTACGAATCGTACATCTAACTAGATAGATGTAAACTGGTAAATATAATAAATGGTTTTACCTTGAACTTATGAAACAATGTCCTAGTGATTTTCTAACGATACGTATTGTAACAAAATTCCTATAGAAAGACATACCCTTGGTGCTCATCAAAAATGCTTTGGTTCTGTAATGTCAAAGCAGATTACTTTCCCAACATAAATATTATTTTCACAATGCTCCCAAAAGGTACAGAACATATCTATAAGGGATAAAGAATGAGGAGGTTATTTGCAGTATAAGCACTCATTTTAGTGGCAATTGAAGTAAACCACAAGGAGGAAAGATGAATTCACACTGCAGTTACCTTTTTTTAATCGTGGACTTCATGTTTTTCATTTTATTTTCCATTTTTTAAGATATTTAGTTCTCATTCTACTCTAAATGCAGAAGGAGGGAGCTAATAAATAGATCCTGAAGAACAAGAGGACCAGTAATGGGAAGTGTTACGCCGCTTGCCTGTTTCTGAAGTACTGTTTCGTTTTATTTATTCTTTCAGGCCCTGTTTTTCTGACAGTTTTTTATTTTATTTATTCTTTCAATCTCTGTTTTTCGGACACTTTTTACATCAAGAAAATACCATGACTAATATTGAGAAATTGGAAGAAATTTTTTAAGGACAGTGAAGTATGATGCATAATAAATCTCAGAAAACTGTGGAGCCATAAACGATTCAACACAATATTCTGGATATGTCTACACTCTTAATTGCTGCTGAAAAATTCTTATTAATAAGGTCACAACTTACTAAATCACACGCTGCAACTCAAATTTCAACAATTAAGGCCACTTTTTAGGTTATCCAAATAATAAAACTCAGATGGAGATCCTATATTAACATAATTCGGTCAGGCATGGTGGCTCCTGCCTGTAATCTCAGCACTTTGTGAGACCGAGGAGGGCAGATGGTTTGAGGTCAGGAGTTCGAGACCAGACTGGCCAAGATGGTGAAATCCTGTCTCTACTAAATACACAGAAAATTAGCCGGGTATGGTGGCAGGCACCTGTAATCCCAGCTACTAGAGAGGCTGAGGCATGAGAATTGCTTGAGTCTGGGAGGTGGAGGTTGCAGTGAGCTGAGATTGCACCACTGCATTCCAGCCTGGGTGACAGAGTGAGACTCTGTCTCAGAACAAACAAACAAACAAAAACAAAGAAAGCCCCAATAAACATAGCCTCTACTGTTAACCTAAGTTTTTTTTTTTTAATTGTGATTGCTGCCGCTGGGGAGTAACCCATGTCCCAAGAGAACTATATGTGGATAATGCTTAAAAGTATCATTGAACTACAAAAGGAATTTTGAGCAAACAAGTACCATGAGGGAGAGGGCACTTCAGAGAATGCAGAAGATGAAAACATTGTCAAGACAAATTTCTACAAACGATTTACCCAAAGCTAATTCTACATCTCAGAAAGACACAACAGTTTGAATAAAAAGCAGTATTATACATAATTTAAAAGCTCTTAGTTCCTTGGAGTGGATCTACATTCAGTCTCTTAGAATTTGTAAGTCATAATGCACTAGATATAATATTGGCTACCATTGCAAAGATTAATCATAATTTTATGATCTTTTCAGTATATAATTAAAATAGAAACACACCTTCCAAAATTTCTAATTGATCCTTTTATTATCTATTTTCAAAAACATCTGCATATTATTATTAAATGCAGCAAAATAGTGTAAATTGTTATCATGACCTTTGATACCTTCCATGATCTGGCCTTTGCCCACGTTTTAAACTCTCACGTGCTGTTTCCCACATAGGTGTTTCCCCTCTCTCTATTCAGGACAATCTAAATTCCATTTCTAACATATGGCACTTTGTTTCCTTGCTACAAAAATTTAGTCAAGGTGTTACCTCTTCTTAAAATCTCTCCTGTATTTTGGCTGCCACAAAATACCTCATAATCTTTAAAGTGTTAGCAGGCCACTTTGCTGTAAATCCTTTTCTGACCCTGATCCATGAACTGACCATTATCTTTAATTCATCCTCTCCCTATCCCTGACATCTATCATGGTGAGTACCATATTCAATTTCACTTCATTGCTTAAATGTCAGTCTCTTCTTAATCAACTACAACTAAGGCAGGGATAATATCAAATTAAACTGTGTAAATCCAGTGTATAGTGCCCTGTCTCATAGAAATGAAGTCCTCAAGAGATGTTGCATGAGTTGAAAATAATAGATAAGAAACTAAATAGGTTGACAATAGATAGGAAAGTGAAGGGTTGAGAGCTGGAACTCTAGATTTAGAGCTATGAATCCAAGTGTGCGTGCCCTTAGAGAGTTAAATACTATTTCAAACACTGCGCAATATAGGTAGTGAGATAGTGCACGCAAAATAGTTGTCAGGGAAAATAGCCTAAGGTAAGTCTTAAGTAATATTACATTACTCTGATGAATTAACAGTATAATTATGTGCACTATTTCTATAAACTAGAGGTCATAAATTACAACCAAGAGCTAAGAATGTATGATCTCTTTCAAATTATTAATTCATGTTGCAAATAGCAATTATCTGACAGCTGCATTGAATGTTGCCATCATAGCCACTGATAAGACTCAGGGATAAGTTACCTTATCCTTAGCCGCTTAATCAAAATTCAGACCTGGGAGAGAGCATGTGCTGGGCATTACTATGACCCCTCTTCCCCACCACTTCCCATCTATCATTTATTTTCCTGGAAACTGAGGAGGGGAAGGATCCGGCACTTCTGTGATTCCATAGAGGAAGGATAAAAAATGGGATAAATAGTTACCAAACACAACACAGAACCAGAAAGAAACAACTTCCCTCGAATGAAACTTGATACCTTTGTCAAATATGAGTACTGTATACGCTAGACAACACATAAAAGCAAATGTCTACTATATTGACTAAACAAATAAACCTAGTGGAGAATTTTTTATCCTATGATTTTA